AGCCCGTGGGTGGGGAGCCGCAGGTTTCTGGCTGAGCTCCGGGCCAGCTGCAGCTGGGCCGGGTGGTGCATGGGAGGAGCTGGTCCTCGCTGGGGAGCATTCTGGGCGTGACACGGCTAGGGCATGGGACCGAGTGGGGACTTCCAGTCACCGGGGCCCACAGAGAGCCAGGCTGCGAGGAGCCGAGCCAGCCCTCACACCGCACTCCCGTCTCTCCGCACTGTGAGGAGTTGGTCCCAGGACAGATGTCACCAGAGCAGAGAGCCCCACACAGTGGGGTGTGGGGACAATGAACATGTCCCCTCATGGTTCCCACGCCAGGAGTCCGACCGAGGCTCTGCGAGGGCTCTGCCCTGGGCCTTCTCCGGTGCCTGTGGCTGTGGCAGCTCTGGCGTCCCTAACTGTAGGAACGTCACCCCAGTGTCCGTGTCCATCTCACACGACGTCCTCCCTGTGTGCTGCGTCCAGACGCCCCCTTCATGGAGGCTCCAGGATGCTGGGTCAGGGCCCACCCAAACGACCTGGTCCTGGTCAATGCCCCTGTAAGGGCCTGGGGTTACACGGGTGTTCTGGGTGCACGCTTCAGTTCACCATGGATGAGCCTCAGGCCAGCCTGACCCTGCCACCCAGCGTGTGGTCCCTCGGGCTTATCCGGACATGAAAGGTGGCTTCCGGTGTCCTGGTGAGGGACGGGATGGCAGTGCGCGCTGGGTGGGCCGGGCCTGTGGAGGGTCAGGGCCTGTGGAGGGTCTCCTTTCTCTACAAGGAGGGCAGGGCAGAAGGGACCGCTGTCGGCCCACCTCGAGTGGGGCCACTCACCACCCTGGAGTGGAGCCATGCCCCAGCTCTCCCTCTCGGGTGTCCTCTCCCCTGCAGACAGCTCCTCTGCCAACCTCTCTGCTCCCTGCCCTCTGCCACCCTCTCTGGACTCCAGCTGTGGCACCTGTAGTGGCCGGTGGGAGATGGCGGGGTCCCCTGTGCACCCGGCAGCGGGTAGCTGGGCAGGGCCTCACCTCACGCTCTTTGCTGGCACATCAGCCTCCGGCCCCTCCTCTCCCTGAAGACACCCTCACGCTTCTGCATGGGAGACTGAGAAGCAGCCCGGGGATGGGGCTGGGCACTGTGCTCCCTGCGGGAGACGCCGAGGGTTTCATGGGGCAGAACCAGGCCCCCGCCCAGCTCCTCCTCTGCATGGGGTGTCCTCAAAGCCACCTCTCCTTTGTCTGTTCTGTACCTGCACGTGCGGGTGAGCCCCTCGGCCAGGCGTGAGGAGCAGTCTTCCTCCTGCAGGTTGGCTGCGGCGTCGGTGGGCTAAGGCCCCAGGGCTGGTGGAGGCAGCGGGTGGGGCACGCCGCTTGGACGCAGCTGTGCCCTAGCAGAGCCGCAGTGAGTGGGAGAGCTTGCCTCTGTCAAGGCACCACGGGCCCCTGTAACCCTGACTCCCGCAGCCCCTCTCCTCTGCTGTGGTGGCTGTCCCCGACCATGGGCAGCTGTGGTCCCCCTCACGGCAGAGCACTGGCGAGCCTGGAAACTGTTTTCCCAGAAGCCCTCAGTGGCCGTGCTCATTTGGGACCCTCCATGGGGAGCACCTGCCCAGCCCCAAGCCGGAAGGTGGCCAGGGCACTGCAGATGGCACTGTCGGGTCCCTGCAGTCCCCAGCTCTGGGCAAGGGGGTCTCCTGCACTGCAGCCCCATCTACCAAGCCGTGCGAACCTCATTCTCTGAGTTAAGTCCCCTTCGGGTTTTGCACAAAGTGTAGACACAGGTGCACGTTACGTGGCACCGCCCGGTGCTCTCAGGCTGGCTCCACTCAGCACTGAGCCCTCCACGTGCGCCCCTGGGTGTCCACGCCAGCGCCTCCTAGTTATGGATGGCTGAGTAGGAGGGGGGACGGGAGGCATCTGACAGGGGCAGAAG